CCTGAACTTGGAAATTGGCAAATTGGCCTGGGCGTCATTCGACATTATGGATCAAGCACGCGCGGTTTTAAACAGCCAACTTTCAATTATTAATTTGAATTTTAAACTTGTCTTACGGCCTGCTATCCCTTTTCGCTACATAGTGACGTTCGGTAAGACAGCCTGGGGATGATTTGTTGATTCGATTCTCTGACTAGATGGGGGATATAGCTTTAACGTCTTCAGTCCCAAGAACGATGAAATTAACCGAAAAACAAAATCAGGTATCATAATTAAAAACGTGTTCTTAGTCATGGCTCTGAAAAGAAACAATGTTGTGAAATTTTACAACTAAAACGCCGATAACATTACAGCCTGGACGAGGTGACTCATTTTTCTGTGTTCAATCCATCTAGATTTGTCACTGTGGACGTAACACGGTTATGACAGCCAAATATCCGCCCCGTAAACTTATCAAGGTGTGGGGAAAAACGGGGTAATAACCGACTTTGTCAGACAGTCAGATGATTGAAATTAAAGTTCCGAAACAGCTGAAGGAAGTGGCCATTTCTGAGCGACATGATAACGAATAGACCAAAAAATCAAACTGACTTATCTAACCAACCTACAAAGATAATAGCACAGCATTGTAAACTTCAGCAAAATACATGTAGTAAACTATAATCCGCGTCGCATATTAGCCAAAGACACCTTTCTTCAAGATAGAAAGTGCTATAACCATGTGCTCTTTTTTCCGGATGCGAAACAGTTGATAGGCCTACGGCTAACTTTGTACCCTTCAGAGCGTTGTCATAAATTTCAACCTTGGATGTTAGTCATTAATCCAGAGGAACAAGCTTCAACCCAAAGGTGTGGTTCAGGCAGTTACAACTTCCGGAATATTTTGTATGTCTGTCACGTAGGCCTATGTTTCAGAGGGAAATTATGAACTGCGCATGTCCCGTTTTTAGGATCATTTGCGTGCGTAATGAGGGCCATGGGAATTTGTGCCAGGCAAACAGCTGCTTCATTTCCTGAAACGTACGTCTTATTTTCACTTTTTGGAAATAAAAATTCCTGCCCAAAATATTTTCATGATAAGAAAAGACCTTTTCCTAACGTGTTTTGTGAAAATAAAATTAAAATTGTCTACTGATACTTGTGAAAAGCTCTTTCGTAGGCGGTAGTTTGTTTACGTTTTTGATGCGGTTTTAGAAGGCTCGAAACAAAGAATTCGAAGTTTTCCTGAAGTTTTCAAAAGTAGGCTGTGGTGGAGAAAGAAGTGAAGGTTTTAGATTTACTGACGGTTTTGCGCTAGATTTTTTTTCCCGACAGGACGCGTTTGCATATCGACCTAACTCAGCACCGATTTCGTTCTTCCCGCTTAATCTTACGGCATTGCGAGCGTAAGAATTCAGTGACTCTGTAACGAAAGACGAAGTCATAAGTACAGTAAGTTAACATGAAGTTTATTATCGAATCCGTGGTCTATCTGTCATAATGAAATTGCCAGCAAAATGTTGAAATTCATGGTATATATCCCCAGTTTTACGTGTACTATATACACGCATGAACCACATGAGCATGTACACCGGCTCCGCCGAGAATTTCCATGCACTTGTAGGCTCCCATGCACGCCGCGGTACGCGTCACAAGCCTCAGTGTACTGTGCACGGTCCGTGGCTCGATCGGTTTTGTGCACGTGAAACACGTATAGGTAAGTATCAAATATAACTCCTGAAAGTCGAACAAAAAATCCAGCTACATAGAACTGATTGTATTGTGTGGTTGAGATTCTGGCCTGTCGTATGCAGTGTCTCACTGTTCTGCGAAAACTTCTAAAATTGAGAAATTTTTTGGGGGGAAAAGACCCAGAGATCGATTGAAAATGGAAATAATTTATAATCTTAGCAACCACTTTGAGGCTAAATTTAATATTTATGTAGCATTTCTTTTCATTATTCTGTTGCATTTTATTCGGTTTAAGCCTTCTAGAGCACATACAAAGAGTTTCAATGTGATCGTTTGTTAACTTTGTGAAAACGAAGTCTTCAACACGAGAAGGCTCAATAGAGGATTGGCAAGTTGCTAAGGACATTTCCGTATGGTTCATGAGGGTCCGGTCAAGTAACCGCCGCGCACGGTCAAAGTCGTTAATTTCCACACGTTGAGTGGGGGTAAAACATCCATGTACGTGCTGTGAAACCTGTGTCACTCCCAACGGGGAGAGAGATTTTATGAAAGGATGCTAAATAACAAAGAAGCAGAACATGACATATTAATTGTTAAATGAATTTAATGATTGAACGTTGATTGGGAGTTCTTATTAAAGCTCGCTTAGTGCAAGCAGACGTGGGGGAAACGGGGCTCTGCACCCGTCCACCACCTCCCCCAAAAGAACCAAAAAACAAACATACTAAGGAAAGCATTTTCTTTGGACTACTACAGGTCTTTTCCGTCCCAAAGTGTGTGAAAAACCCTTAAATGCAGCCATTACCGTTTTTGCTCCCCTCCCCCCAAAAAATTTGACCCCTGAAAATTTGCTTCAGGACCCGTCCTTAGCTAAGTGTAAACAGTTGGTGGGCCTACCGTATTGACCGAGAGCAGTGTCACGTGTTCCAACCCTACTATGCTTCAATTATTTCGGAACATTAACGCAGCTTTTAGACGAAGCGACCACAGACGGATCTTTAAAAATCAATCGTTTGTTTCTCAGCAGAGAGCATTGCCCTCCCATCAGTCGACAGCACGAACTGTTTGTACCAGAATAAACGGTATTTATTTTGGCTACCAAGATTTAGGTTAAAAGTTATTTCACACATTTCCACTACTTTGAATAATTTCTGTCAGCTTTCTTGTCGCTCTCTCCCTCCCCCCATCAACAACTATTTCTATCTGCCTCATTTTTAGGATAATAATGCAAATTCCGTGTTCTTTTGTTTTGAAAGCACCTAAAAGGAATTTCGGTGTTTAATCTTTGCTTATTATGTTGTAGAATTTTATTCATATTACAAATTTACACTGAAAATGACTACTGTACTTACAGGTCTTTAGAATTGTGGCAGCCTATCGGCTTCCCAGGCTTCGGTGTAGTGAGTAAAAATGGAAACAGTGTCTGCTCTGAAAAAGCGACCCTGGAAAATTTTTCCCTATTTAAACAATGCTAAAAGAAGGTAGGTTATTTCTCCGAAAGTTGGAGGGTAGGCCAACTGTCGTTGTAATTTCCTGAAACGCATTCAAACAGACCAACACAAAAAAAAACTTTCTCAGCGAGGCAATTTTTTCCCTTCCTGCATCTGCTGGATGCGCTACGGGTCGAAGTGTCCAATTAAAGTCCAGATTTACTTCCTTCCTTTTGAAGACTTTTTCCCCCGATGTTGGTCATTATTTATCAAAACATTTTAAATACCCCCAAAATCATACATTTCAAAATGTCTTACAGAGGACTTTCTATAAACTACAATATTAGTCATACTCAGATTATTGTGGTCTGCAGCCATGCGCAGACCAAGGCGTTTAATAGACTTCTAAACCCAAAGATCAAACTGATGACTTTTCAATTGCGTGGGGATAGTGCTTTTCATCGTGCCGATGTAAGAGGTAAAATTTAAGGAAGGGAGGTGATCAGACTGAAACCCTATCCCCCTTCATTTGCTCTACAGTCGGAAAAGTAAAGCACGTACCAATTGTTAAAATTAGTTTCACGGATCATGGAGCACGGTGAAAGATTTGGTCCCGTCACTTTATCTCAAGAGCAGGTTATTATGACGTGTGTAGGCTGAGCCCGTAGGCCGACCACGAACTTTGACTTTTGCAGTAAGTTGTCTGATGATCAAGTGACCTACGCAGGCTAGCAAAGAAGTTACTTTGAGCGGAAGGTTCCCAGGCCAAGACTGCAACTCTGGAAAGATCTCTTTCGAATGGAAAGTCACTCCCCGTCTATGAAAGGAATATTACCCTCAGTACAAACAGCAGCGTTCGGTAGGAAACTTCAGAGGAAGCACAAGGCATGTTTGTGAATCAAGAATTAGCGGCACCCACATTACGACAGGGAACGTTCAAGCACGTACGCAGACGATACTGTCATGAATAGCGCCAAAAGAATTCCGAATGATGCCTCGACCCCCCCCCCTAAATTTGTAAGGATGATTTCCATATCATGGAAATTCATGACAACTTTATTGTACCTCTCTCCCACGAAGAAGTTATGGCTAGTGGCTTTGAACTAAGTCCTAACTTTGGATTAAAAAACGTGCCTAGTCTTCCTTGATTGTTTGAGGCACTGTGGTTGATTGTCTCAACTCTTGATTAAAAACCCAGAACCTGCTTCTTGATTGTAAATGTTGTCCTCTTTGTCTTGCCAGTTAGGCTCATAGCACGGAGCATCGTTGCGTGTGCCTTCTCCATAACTTACTTCCGGCCCATTCGCGAAATCCTGAGGACGCTCTAAGGATAGGTTCACCTCCCAAAAATCAAAATGGCCACGACACAGCCTCCTCCTCGTCCACTGGAAGGGGAGACATTACTAAGCAACGACATCATTAAAAGCTGCATGGCAAAAGAGAAGTGTTAGGATGACTGATGAGTGTTCGCCCAACCCCCCCCCTAAAATGTTACAGAGTGGTACCGGTACCCTCTCTGGGCATGGGTCACAATTTCGTCATGTGAGATCATCTCACTCCCTGTGCTCCGATTACTCCTGGTCTCTGCGGTGCAAAAATTACGATTAGCCACGAGAGAAATAGGTAACCTCCGACTTCATGAATCTGAATTATCCCTCCAATCCCTGTAACCCTTCAAAAGTTGGCTGCGATGATGGCAGGGGGGGGGGATACAAAACTATTTTTAGGACGATCCGGGACCGGCCTGTGACGTCAAGAGGAAAAATGGCTGACGTGGCCCCGGCCGTGAGACAGCTTAGTACCAGCCGGTAACCGGTCACGTTTGCGGGGGAGGGGGGTAGGCGAATGAGTAATTAGAGCGTGGCCATCGTGGGGCCAACGGGGAGGGGGCTTATAAAAATAGGCAGAGAGGGAGGGGTACGGTCTCATTGATACGCTACTCCACAACAGGACAACAACTGCAGCGCCTGCACCTGACACGGCAGAGTCTGAACACCCTCAAGCCCAGCGTTGTCACGTAGGCCTACCTCAAGAACATCGCCACGATGCTTTCTCTCAGGACTGTCCTTTTCCTCGGCTGTGCCGGTAAGAATGAATTTCTTCCCTTTTGGTAGAATTACATTTGAATTAGATACCAGATTCCGACTGTAATTTGCTGTTCCTAGGTCACACAGAGCTGTAACCCTTCAATGCTGTCGCATCATCCTGAAGCAGTTTTTGTCGACTACAACAAAATTTTCTGTACGGGCGTTCCAACTGTTAAGCTGCTGCACATCTGACAGATATTATGGAGGAATGAACTCTTCTTGATAATTGTCTGTGTGAGATTTTCGTCGACATTCAACAATTAAAGACACCATTTGTGAGCAACCTTTAACTGAGGTGTTCGTAAGCACCGATCTTTTCTTCACATTAGCCGATGGCCATTTTTCAAAACGTCTATACCTGATTTCTCCATACCGGTCATTGCTAGACCAACGTCAGCTGTTGTCAGCGACCGGCGTGATTCTCCTTATCTTGTTATGTCGACACACCCTTCCCACACTATCAATATCATAAGTGACGCACCAATTGTTCACAGACAGCTGACGGAATTCAGTAATTTAAAGTCGGCTAACACCAATTTAAATTTCACTCAACGTTTCAGAAGTTTGGCTGTAGTTTCTGGAAGACAAAGTTAATGCTGAATGACAATAGAAATGACATGATTTGCTTTCCTACCGCCCAGAAAGTTGAGATAACATCTTTGAATCTCATCGGTCCTTTTTTCAAATTGTGAAGGTGTAAATGGTATCCGTAAAGTTTAAATACCTATGTGTCCTTGTCTACCAGCAAGAAGCATTGAGGACATTCATTTCTTTCCAAAAAGAAGATTTCAGTAGGCCGACGTACATTTTGTGGTGTTTTATAAAATATGCAAAATAAAGCCGCTTTCCAGTTTTGTTTTGTTTTGATTTTTTTTTTTTTTTTGGTGTTGTATTTTTTGTTGGTTTTTTGTTTTGGTTTGTTTTGTTTTGTTTTTTGTTTTTGCATCCTCCAGACTTCGTGTTAGCTGGTGACTTCAAACACTTGGTGGCGGTATGACGGGTAGTCTTCCCGGCATTATCTCATGAGTTTGAACATGCACGCACATTAGTTTTAGCAACACAATTACACTTTCTTTCTGAGTCTTGTTAATGAGCAATATGGCTGTCGAGATAAATCTAAAAATACTGAGCACTTCGTAAGCCCGCCCCTTAAACTTCTCTGCCGGTCCCTGCGGGACACGTAACGGCATGTTAGGGATCTTTTCGCCCTCTGTGCGTCCCCGGAGAACCGCCTAAAATAGCCTCTGGCGGATCTTGCCAATTACCACGGGATGGGTGACTAACGCACCGCTCGCCTGCACAAGTGCCATGGTACCGAATGACTCGGACGCCCGCTGCAACTGAGCCGGATTAAAGGAAATCAAAAGTTATTTTTAAAAAGATAATAGTTTCCCCAAAATTGAACCGTCACGGCGTTACCCAAGAGTAGTATACTTGGGTGTGAGAAAAACGGTAGATAATAACGATGAAATTATACAAACACATTCAAAAAACATTTCTCATAAGCATTATGTTGCAAACACATAACTGATTACCATTAAGTAGGTGAATCACTCGAGTTGACACAAAAGTCATACCTGTGTTCTGTGCAGGAAGAAGTGAGCTCACTTAAAAAAAGAGAAAGTTTATTTAACAATTTGTTTCACAGAACTGTTAAGGTTCTTATGTTAAAAATCTCTTTGTTTTGCACTCCAGCCCTGGCCATGGCAAATCCTGTTTTCTTCGAGATTCGTCAACCGCAACGGGAAGAGTTTCAAGAGGAACAACAGCTGAAAAGCAGACCCTACCCAATGAACCAGGTCGCCCCACAGCAAGCCTCCCCGTCCTACGACTACGGAGGTGGTGACGCCGGCGGTGGTACCGAAACCGATTCCGAGTCTGGCGAGGTGGACGCCGGGGCTGGCGGCTCGCTGGCCGGCGGTGCGACGGAAGCCGACGCGGCAGACAACGAGGCCGCCGAGAAGCGGCGGAAGCTGCGGAGGCCGCAGACGCAGAGAACGACATCCCAGACGCCGTGGTAGCAGGGGGAGCGTTGGACGCCGCCGAGCCAAACAGCTTAGAGGGTGGACCACCGGGCCAGGTCAAAAACAGCGAAAAGTCCTACGCCGGTCAGAAAGCTGGTATAGCTGTCGGAGTTGTGGCCATGGTGGGTCTTGCCGCTGGTATTGGTTACTTTATCTACAGGAAAAGGAGGGAAGCCGCTTATGGTGCACGATTTTGAAGATTTTAATAGAAAAGTACATCTCTTTTTTTAAAAAGTCTTCATACTAAACAGCAACGTCTGATTGCTTTGTTTTTCATTAGCGTCTTGAGACCAGTATACTGATTTGACTGCAATAGTCAAACCCGTCATGTTTCTGCTACAGGAAAAACATTTTGTTTAATCTCTGTGTCTGCTTTGTGTAGGTTTGGGTACTGGTCTTTTTACGATGGTAGAAAAAGTGTGTAACTGTCACACGGGTCCATGTTTTCCTCATGTCATTTGTTATTGGTAGCGTGAATGGTGTGAGGACAAGCTGCTGGTCAGAATCATTATATCAAAAGCATCCCCCATTATTCATTGGAATTTTTTATTGTACTGAGAGTTCATCAACAAATCCAGGCAACCAAACCAATACCCTCTAAGGAAATAAACAACCGGCATGAGTGGATTTGTTCAAAATGCGAGGCGATACTTTTAAGAACATGCAGAGTCAATATCCAGTATGGTCGACGTTCAAAGTTATAACTAGTATGCCTCGTAATTTGTTGACCATCTTTTCAGGAGAGTTGCGGAGAACATGACGTATCTAAAAACACGCCCTTAATCAAATATCCCTTTAAAGACAGGGCAATCTTCAAAAAAAATTATTCGAAATCTGAGATGTAACAATAGAACTTGTATCTCACAAATATTTTATTATTATTTCAGTGTTTTTTGTAATTGAACTGCGTGTAAAATATTGTTGAACTTGTAAAAAGACTTTGATATTGTGTCAGACATTAATTTGTACATAATTGTGGTGCTGTTTCGCATTGTCACGCGACAGCTTGAAAATAAAACAGAGGGCAGTGTGGCCTCGAACAAAACAATTCTGAAATAATATAGAAATTAGTTTAGATCCACCGCAAACTCAGTAGAATAGGCTCAATAAAGGACTACGGCATGACAGCTATGCTACCTGTTGCTTATGCTAACAAAAAATAAGTGGAATGCTTTCTCGTTCTGCACTTTCGGTCCATGCGTTTCTTTGACAGCTTGTTCCCCTTACACAGGAAGTTGCCCGACAGACAAGAAAGGTTGAATGAAAACAAAGTTACTTGAGCACCTTGTCTACATATCACTGTAAAACCAACCATTTACTATAATCTTTCCGTTCCAATGTCTTCGACAAGATTTTTTTTTTTTTTCGCTGGCTAAATCTTACCATTTTTCTTCTAGTATTTCAAATTTTATTCGAATTATTTATTACATTGTGACGGCTACGTTTGCTGCAGCTTGCTTTGTGGGAGGAAAGAATTTGTGCTCTTTAGTAAACTACTGAACGAATGCATGGAAAAACCTTTTTGTAATAAACGAAACAATAAAAACATATATGAATGGTTACCGATGTAATTAATCACTGTTTATGGTCTTTCGATGCTTCAGGGCGTCTATTTAGACGCATGATTTATTAGCCTAAGAAAGCCGATTGATAACAGTATCCATGGAGCACTTATCATCTTTGGTTAAAGGGTGAACAGGGTATTTTCATCAGTCATCCGCACACCGCAAAATGGGAAAGCAGGATGGGGTAGGGGTGAGATATGGCGTGAAGACAGGAATCTTCTCGAGACTGTTAATAAAGCCATTTACCCATAGGAAACACTTGGTGTATCCCCAGACTGGTGGGTAGAAAAAAATTTATTGAGATTGGGGGCAGCTCTATAACCATCTCTGAATGGCGGCGGTGTTCAAAATGGAGAGTATCGGACAAAGGGTGGCGCCCTTTATATCGCCGCGTGGGAAACGGAAACTTGTAGGGGAAACTGTTAGGCGTGCAGCCACTGGAGATCAGTGGGTGTAGCCCACTAATTGAAATGACAATTTCTGCCTAGTTCCTTAGCATGAAATGTGCACCCACAGTTTCTTTAGAAAACTTTGGCCCCCAAAATAGTAAGATTGTGTAAATCTTTGCCAGGATCAGCTTCCTGGGTCTTTGGCTTCCAGCTGAGGGCAGAATGAATCCAAAATTCGGTGTGTGCCCCACAAAAGGTGGCTGCTGTGATGCAGATTTCGGAACTATCTCTTTTCTGGGGTGCTTTTTTTCTAAATAATTAAAATTGAATTGGGTAACCAATAAAAAAAAGGAACAAAAGGTACAAAACAGTAATTTGATTTTTGTTTCAAAAACACAAGGGACGTCGGCATGCGCATGTTACTGAGCCCTGAACAATGCTGAATTGACAATGTTTTCAGTGGGGCTTGAATTGGGGAGCACACCCTCAGGCACAACGTGAGTGGACGGAGGGTGATATGATTGTGCATCAGTAATTTAATTCATTTCAAGTTCTCAACTCGGCGTTCTTGGCGCGCGTGATTATGATTACATTGGACTTGTGATCGATATCTCCTAAATTAGCCCTGGCCCTGGAGAATGAGGTGGGGGTGAAGTAAATGATCCTTGTTGTGCCCTGAGACCCGTGTCACTTGTAGGAGTTAGAAGTGGCGGATGGGAGGATCTTTCCCCCTCGCGTTTTGGAAACTTAATACATCGGGCCAACGTTGCAGATAAACCTTGCACCGATGGTTCGACTGTCGCTAAGCCAACGTCTGCCAACAGATTAAGATTATCCGCCACGAGCAGAAGGGCCCCTCATCGGTTTAAAAGAGCCACGTTGGTCAGGAGGGTTCATTTTTGTTGGTATCGATGCGGCCTAACGCGTGCATTTCCTAGTCGTTTGTGAACCAGCGAAGTTCAGTTCCGACCAAAGGAGCCTCCGTTGCAAAGGAAATAACGTCCCCTCTTGATCCAGCTCGGGCCCATTATTAATGTATCTGCCAATCTCTTTGTTCTTTATTTCACCAGCAGGCACATACTCCCGCATCAAATAAAAATCCAAAAACAAAGAACATGTATTGTATCAATATCAGTGATGTGAGCTCTGTGTACATAAACCAGCCATGCACGAACATCAATAAATTCAGGAGAATTAAGGCCATAATTGCTTACCAAACAACAGTAAACCCACCAAGTCAATTCAATGCTATTGCCAAGGATTTTTAATGCCGGAGGCAGTTTGGCTCAAAAGTCCAAGGGAGCGCGTGCCGGTGTCATGAGAGATCACGACTCCCCTAATATCCCGTTTCTCTATTTCCCCGCACTACATTCGAGCGTTAGCTGTCACTGTTATATGCATGCACTGATTCCATCGTGCTCCCTGTTTTCGTTGGGAACAAATTTCCCACTACACCGGTGCAGAGGTTGGCACTACAATAATGCATGCTGTACGGTTATTGGTCGACCGTGAATGTCGCCCATAACTAGCTCGGTCATGTAGAAAACCTAACTCCAAATTCCATTTTATTCAGGAAGTAAGAGGGCCTTCACGAGGAGCATGGAGGTGAGTAGCTACTTTGGTTTTTAGCACAGGATTCGTAGATAATAAGTTATCAATATCTTGTTGTGCATACGCTTTCCACTCTGAACTGGGTAAACATGGTGACATTTCTTTGCATCGTGTTGGCATTTGTTTGTGCGCACTTGTGATCGTCAAGTTCCTGCACTTGGCTTAAACTAAAGGCAGTCAAAATTTTTGATTCACCATTCATTTTCGTCATCGTTGCTTTTTGCGATTTTTGTTTCATATCTTGCATGTTAACAAGGGCAGAAACCTCTGTTTGCAGATATTTTCGAACACACACAACTTGTCTAAATGCCGGGAATTTAGCTGTCGTTGATTTTTTTTCTTTAGCAATCATTCGTATTTTTATGGCAGGAGGCAGTGAGCAAAGTTTTCCGAACAATACTTTCAAAGAGCAACTTTTGAGATCCCAATTTAATCATAAAACATCCTATGATGAACAGTGTTTTCTTCTTAAAATTACGTTATAGCAGCTGAGAGCCTGGATTCATTGGCAGGAAAAATAAAAAATTGCATGTCAATAGAAGGAGTAGATTGAAAAATATTTCTAAGAAATAAAATAATGTTGTATGACCTTTCGTGATAGTGTAACTCTAGGACGTATGCCCAGATGCTTGGGGTAAAGACAAAGTAACATTTCAACTGTATTTAAATCGTAAGGATAATATTCCTTAGACTACTCCTTGAGAGAAAACGTTTACTTCTTCCATTCCGAAAAGATACCAAGAGAACATAACCGAAGCTTCTCAAAAGGATCTGTTTTTCCTGCTGCAAGGTTTCCTTGGAATGAATGAAAATGACATTTCACA